ATAGTTTCATAATAGTTTAAAACGTTACAATGAAACTGATAATACCACCCTCTTAAAAGGCAGTTATAAACTCACCAAAATCTGATTTCTAAATAGACTCTTCAGATGTTTTTGTTTTTATTTTGCTCCAAGCTGAGCGTGGTGGTGCATGCCTGCAACCCCAGGACTAAGGAACAAGGGTCAAGTTCAAAGCCAGCCTGGGCTATACATGACGCCCCGTTACAAAACAGCAACAGCAGCAAACCTCTCCCCCCCAATCAAAACCCCCAGCAATCATATATGTCTCTCTTGCTTTATCTTCTGAAAGTCTTTGGTAAGTTGAGAAATGGGTTAAATTTCCTGGTAGGTCTTCAGTAGCAAATGCATGAATGCCACATGCAGAGAGTCAGTGGAACAGAACAGCCTGGCTTCTTAGAGAAATTACTCGTTTCCTGTTGCAAGTCATTCGGAAATGGGTACTCACTCCATCCTCTGCGTTCATGAAGTTGACTTAAGCTGCGTGAGATGCATGGAACAGTCCTGAGATACTGTTCAGAACAGAAGTGTTTCATGAATGCATTCTGAACCAGATACCCTGCATGTGCATCTGCCTACTGTCCCTTTCTCTCCCCTCTTCCTTAGAACTTTGCTCCACGTTTTTATATGTGTTTTTTTCCCCTGTAAGATAATTCCAGAGATGACAAATCCTCTTGAGGCCGCTAAGAGTTGAATTAGAAAATGGTTTTTCTAAACCTGTCATCAATACAAATTCTGCTTAGGAATTGTGTTGCAAAGATGTGTTCTGAAATTTTTTTCATGAGTTTTTTTTGGGGAGGGTTTCTTTTTGAGACAGGGTCTCCCAGTAGCCCCAGCTGGCCTGGAACTCACTATGTAGACCAGGCTGGCCTCAAACTCACAGAGATCCACTTGCCTCTGTCTCCCAAGTGCTGGGATTAAAGGCGTGCACCACCACGCCCGGCTATGAGTATTTTATTTTTAAAACATTGCTTCCCAAAGTGATACTGAAGTAGACAAGTGAGCAAATAGAACATGTAACGATCAGGTAAGTCCTAACTGCTCCAATGGAGCACACAGCCGGATGGTTAGTAATGGGGAGTCTTGCTGGTTTGTTTGTTTGTTGTTGTTTTGAGAAAGGATCTGACTCTGTAGTCCTGGCTGGCCTGAATTCACAGAGATCTGCCTGCCTCTGTCTTCCAAGTGCTGGGATTAAAGGCATGTGTCACCATGCCTGGCTATAAAAGTTATTTGTAAAAAGACAGGCTTTATGTTTTTACCTTACCTTACACTTAAGCACATAATTGACTGTGTTGTGAACATGTTGTAAGTTAAATTGCTTTATGATTTTGGAATGAGAAAATTGTTTTCCAGGTGATCACAATTTGCACATAAAAAGATTAAAGAACTTTCTCACTGTTAACATTCTATGGTTTGTGTGTGTGTGTGTGTGTGTGTGTGTGTGTGTGTGTGTGTGTGTGTGTTTTGTGCTGGAGTTCAACACCTAGGGCTTTGTGCATGCTGAGGAGGTGCGGTAAGTCATATTCATGGCCCTCTTATGTAGCTTATACAAGTTTACTAGCCCTCTTGTTTTGATGAAACACTGTTCTTTTGTTTGTTCAACTTTTAAACTTGAAAATGTGATTTGGAAATGTATAGACCTTAGGATTTCTGGACTCTGTACAAGGAGTTGAGAAGGAAGTAGATTATAAATGAGTGTGAGTCTCTGAGTGCCTTACAAGAGTGGATGACTAAAAGTGACAAATACTGTCTTGGATGTGTGGGTCCTTCAATAATCAAAGAACAACAGGCATTCTGAATGGAGTTAAAAAGAATGGCTCCCCCTTCCTCAAATGAAATGAACAGAAAAGAACCAGTTCTGATTTGGAGTTGAATACTTAGAAAAGCAGCTGTGAGGCCTGGCACGATGGTACACGCCTTTAATCTCAGCACTCAGGAGGCAGAGGCAGGTGGATCTCTTTGAGTTCAAGGCCAGCTGGTCTACATGTTTGGATTCATCAAATAATTTACCAAGTCTTTATGTCTTTGGAATGTTGTCAAAGAAAGAAGAGGTACTTTCCAGCATAAAGGATGAAGCCAGAGAGAATGTGAGGGAGTGAATAAGACCAGGAGAAGCCACATAGCTGTGGCTTGTAGTCTCTGCTCTATTTTGGAAATTCTTTTTTTTTTTTTAATTTTTTATATTTATTGTTTTCATTTTCTGTGTATGAGTGTACTGCCTGCATGTATATGAGTGCGCCCGTGTCATGCAATGCCGCATAGGTCAGAAGAGAGCTTCGGAGGACAGTTCGTAGCCACTGTGTGGGTGCTGGGAATCGAACCTGGGTCCTCTGCAAGAGCAGTCAGTGCTCTTAACCGCTGAGCCATCTCTCCAGACCCAATAGAAATTCTTATTAATGTCAAAGTAATTCTCTTTCATGATATACTTAAAGACCTCTTTTATTCAAATTCTGTGAACTTGTGTTCAGGAAGGAAGGAAGAGGACAGGTAGGCTGGCTAGTTTAAAAACAAGATAAACAGCTCTGTGGGCTCTACTGGGAAGGCCATCCTGGTCTACAAAGTGAGTTCCAGGCTGACTGGGGCTACAGGGAGATCCTGTCGCAAAAAGACCAAAAGAAAAAAAAAAAAAAAAAAAAAAGGGTCTTACATACCTCCAGTTCATTTGCCAGAATCATGTATGTGTTGCTTCACACCCCCACCCCCTGAAATGTTTAAAAGTAAATCCTGGTTACTTCACTCTGCTTACCTCAGTGTATGTCTTCAGATACTTTATATCATTTCTACCATTCCTCCCGTATCTTTTTCCTTTTGTATGTTGCTATATCTCAGGCTAGCCTGGAACTCTGTGCAGCTCAAGCTGGCCTCCAACTTGCAGTGATCCCCCTGCCTCAGCTTTCCAGTTGCTGGGATTACAGGTGTCAGCTACTGACCCAGCTATAAGGATGATTGTTGTTTTTTTTAAAACCTCATGGACTGCTCAGCAAAAGGTTCTCCTAGATCACACTTTGGTTTGGGGCAGTTTGGGGGTGGTGGTGGTGGGTGTAGGGTGTGCATGAGGCATAAAGCCCTGGCTGGACTCTAACTCAGAGAGCTCTACCCACCTCTGCTTCTCCAGTGCTAGAATTAAAGAGGTTCACCACCATTCTCTACTTGGGCTACACTTTGAGAAACACTTGGCCCAAAGGCTTCATTAATTCAGAGTGAACTTCTTAGTGCTGTATGATTCGTGTTTTGTCATAGCACACACTGTATCTGTCATGCATTGGTGCCTAATAGTTGCTGGAAGCCTAGGGGAACCATCAGGTAGAAACAACATTCCTTGCTGTTAGTGGTTGTAGTCATAAAGTTTCGCCACCTTTGTCAATATTTTATGATATTTTCAATTTTTCCTAGTTAATAGGAAAATGTCTTTCTTGTTGGATTTTGATTCCTTTAGTATTTGAGGTTTTTTCATGTCTTCACTTGTTTGTTTCTATCTTGTGTCTCTTTATGTTTTGTTTTGTTTTTTTGAGACAAGGTCTCCCTGTAACCCCAGCTGGCCTGGAACTCACTGTGTGGACCAGGCTGGTCTTGGACTCACAGAGATCCATCAGGCTCTGTCTTCCAGTGCTAGGACTAAAGGACTAAAGGCGTGTGCCACCACGCCCGGCCTCTTTAGTATTTTTGAGACAGAGTCTTGCTATATAGATATACAAGACCAGACTGGCTTTGTTTTCTCAGTGTCTCCCAGGCTGGCCAGAATGGAACCCACAATCCTCTTGTAGCCTTCTGAATGCTGGGATTACAGGTGTGTGCCACCACTCACAACTTGCCTCTTACTGATTTCTTTGGGCTTAAATCTACTTAATCTTGATGACTTGAAATGAATTTGGACAAAAATCCTTATGACACATACACATAGGCCTTTTCAAATATTTTACCTCTGTGTGTGTGTGTGTGTGCGTGTGTGTGCGCGTGTATGCATGTTTTGCCTTTTTGAAACGGTCCCCCTGAAGCACCAGCTGGCCTGACTATATAGACTGACCTAGAACTCCTAGAAATCTACCTGCCTTCTGAGGGCTGGGACTAAAGGTGTGTGCTATCACACCTGGCTACTTACTGGGGTAATCTTGAGACTAGATGGTCAACCCAGGCATCTTCCCCTTTGTTAGTCTGTGCTTGTCTGGAAATGATGGAGTAACACCAGGATTTTGAATCATGCAGTTCAGGACTTCAGGAGCCAGTCCCCCTTCTCCTTTAGTTTTTATACCCCACCTCCCCAAACTAAACAAGAAATGAAAAAGAAAGCAGATATAGAGAGTACATCCTAGTCACAGGTAGGTGGCATGAGAGTTGAAATCAGAAGCTGACTTTCCCAAGTCTTCCCTTCTCATTTTATCACCATCTCGAAGCCTAGTTGAATTTGGAATCAGAATGAAAGACTTAAAACAATCTTTTATTTATTTATT